GGGTGAGGAAAATTTTGGAGCATCTATTTATACTTATTCTTAAAATCCTACCGTTTAATTGTCTTTTTTTTTTTTTTTTTTTTGACAGAGTCTTGCTCTGTTGTTCAGGCTGGAGTGCAGTGGCATGATCTTGGCTCACTGCAACTTCTGCCTCCTGGGTTCAAGCAATTCTTCTGCCTCAGCCTCCTGGGACTACAGACATGCACCACCAAGCTCAGCTAATTTTTCTATTTTTGGTAGATTCAGGGTTTTATCATATTGGCCAGGCTGGTCTTGAACTCCTGACCTCAAATGATCCACCCACCTTGGCCTCCCAAAGTGCTAGGGTTACAGGCATGAACCATCATGTCCAGCCTTAAATTTTTTTTTAATTTAAAATTTTTTATAGATATGAGGTCTCTCTGTGTTACCCAGGCTTGTCTCGAACTCCCGGCTCAAACAATCTTCCTGCCTCTCTGACTCTCAAAGGCCTGGGATTACAGGCATGAGCCAGCATTCCCGGTCCCATAATGAATGTGATATTCTTTTCCAGTTGAATGCATTAGCTGTGCTAATGGATAAATCCCAGATTCTCTATGGTTTAACACAGTGGAAGTTCATGTCTTGCTCAAGTCCCATCCTGTGTGGAAGCTCCTTGATGTGGGCCTCTCTGCTACGGGAGGATGTGTGCATATTTTTCTGGGGTTGTGTAACTTTTGGGGCTATCCAATCAGAAAAGTCTGGAGACTAGTATTGAAGGAACTGTCACATTTGGAGCTGCCAGGCCACAGTTTGATTCTTTTCCCCACCACAAATAACATAGGCTTTGTAGTATACCTATTGACTGAGACAAGGCCCAAAGAGCACTTGGTTTGGGCCATCCTGACTGCTCCTGGCTACCAGATCCAGGTTGGAATCTGCAGTAGTCCTATGTCCTGAGCCCCCAGGAACCAGGCCCCATGGTATTGGGATGGACAACGAGAGGTTTCAGTGGCTTTAACTACTCATCCTCCACAGTGCCCAACAGATTGTCCCTTAGAGTGACCAACTCTTTCTGGTTCTTCTAGGTGTTACTCAGTTTTAGCACTTAAAGCTCCATGTCCCCCTAAACTCCTCAGTCCCAGGCAAACCAAGATAGCTTTCATGGGAAGCTTCAATATCAAAGGAGTGTGGGATTATTGCGCAAAGAGGGTTCTTGCCAGGGAATAAGTAGACACAGCCTGTTTTCCCTCAGTGTGGACATGTAGGAGAGGGGACAGTGGTCATAATCAACTATACCCCTGTTCTCACGGGAAGTGAAGATTGACAGCTGCTGCAGGCTGTTTGCTGTCCCATTTGGGAAATTTTCCTGAGGATCCCCTGTAATAAGAGGATAGGATATTTCTGCTTTCATGACTTAAAAGAGGTTATAAATTATTTTCATGTTGGTTTACATGTCAGTGAAGCTGTAATTAGCCACTGACAGGATTGTCAAGAAGTAATTTTCAGAGTTTGGCCCCCTTGACTTAAACATGCCTGCTGACAGCTTACTGAGGATGTGTTATTGTGGGACACCATTCAGGCCTGGAAGAATGCAGAATCAGGCAGAAGGATGTGGTCACATGGCAGAGGAGCTGGTGGAGGTAACAATGAGCAGGTAGAATGGGATTCCAGGTATTTCAAGACCAAGCAATACTTGGTGCTTTCACCAGGGCAAGAGCTGGGAATACTATCAGCAAAAAACAGGGCACCGACTGGCAGTCAGATAATTATTTTCAATCTCTGAAGGATGATAGCAAGAAATGGGCAAAGTCTCATTTCCGAGGGACTAAGGCTTGAGGCAGGTCAGCAAAAGAGGGACCAGGGTGAAAGTACGGTGAGCACAGCTGGGACGTGAGGACAGGGTGAGCTCAGCAGTGACCAACCACTTGTAGGGGACAAAGGGACCTATTTGTTGAGAAAGAAAGGTGCAGAGAGCTGCTCCCGTACTCCAGCTCTTGCCATTCTGTGAGCACAAATGCAGTTGTAATCACATCCTTGCTTAAATCTCAATGGCTTCCAGCCACCTAGTGCTCACCCAGGATCCCAGCATCTCCCTTCCCCAGCTACCCAATTCCTTCTAGGAATACAGGGGATGTGCCCAGGGACACAATCCCTCCTGGCAAGCAATTGAAGGAAGGGGCTATGCCACTCCCTTGCTCCCAAGTCCTCTGTGAGTACGGTACCCTTCCTGGGTTCTGGAATGCCTTCCACAACTGCCAGGAGCTGCTCTGGGGTCTGCGGCAGAGGGAGACTAAGGGTGCGACTTTCCTCGACTCTGCCTCTTCTGTCACCTGAGGCATGGCACTGCTTGTGTCTGGAATCTCACCAAGCTCTTCATGAGGAAGATCCATCAGTTTCTGTTGTGGTCTCTGGTTTCCCATTAGGTGTGAAACTAGTTCCCTAGCTTGTGGGAGCAGGGGGGGGAACCCCAAAACATTCCCACTACAACTTCTAGAAAGTTGTAGTTATAGTTTTTTAGAGGGAATAAAACATCCCTTTTATTTCCTTTCTCCTTGCTCAAAGGCCTTCTTCCTCTTTCAGATAAGAGACATAAAAGCACACATGCCTATCAGCTTATGTGGACAGACACCCAAAGAGCTTCTGCCCTTTGTGGTTTGGACTTAGTTAGGATATTCTTATACAATATTATCTCTTTGTCCCCAGATGATAAACCAAGGCCACTAGTTCACTGAAAAGAAAAACTTCTAAATAATTAGACTTTTATGAAGGCTAACTTGGGCTATTTTTGAAGGTGCTTTTAAAAAAATCTCAAGACTGGATGCAGGAGCTCATGCCGATAATCTCAGCACTTTGGGGGGCCATGGTGGGTGGATCACCTGAGGTCGGGAGTTTGAGACCAGCCTGACCAACAAGGAGAAACTCTGTCTCTACTAAGAATACAAAAGTAGCCAGGTGTGGTGGTGCATGCTTGTAATTCCAGCTACACAGGAGGCTGAGGCAGGAGAATTGCTTGAACCCAGGAGGTGGAGATTGCACTGAGTCAAGATCAAGCCATTGCACTCCAGCCTGGGCAACAAGAGCAAAACTCCATCTCAATAAATAAATAAATAAATAAATAAATAAATAAATAAATAAATAAATAAAATAATAAATCTCATCACACCTAATTTTGAATTAAAATATGATATGGAAAAACTTGATGCTTACGTTTGGAATAATTTAAGCTGTTTTACAAAACAATAAACGATGGGACATTGTGTTATGTTTCAAAAAAAGTTCGTATAAAATTTTAGTGAGTGTGGAAGGACTATAGCCTTCCTCTGCTACTACTCCATTTTACCTCCTGGGAAACAGGGCTGTGGATTTAGCCAAGGAAAAAGAAACATGGGAATGCTGTTTATTCTTTACATAGCTGTAATATAAAGTACAAATGTTATCAAGTATCTTTTCACTTAACCTATCATTGCCACTTAAAAAGATATTAATGAGAAGACAGCCATCAGAAGCAAAATCATGCCAAGAATGAGAAGCAGCAGGAAGAAAAACTTTGGTTACTTCTCTGAGTCCTAGAAAGTTATAGTTACAGTTTGTTAGAGTATCGGTGTTAGGCTTCAGATAAGCCTTCCTTGGGTCACTAGTGGCCTTTTGGGTGGTAATGACAACAGTCAGAAAAGGAAGGAGAAAGCATTTTTGTGTTAACAGTATCCATTTCCAATGTTTTAGGGGACTGATGGTCACTTGCCTGGCCCTTAGAGATGTGTGTGGGTAACTTCACTGTTGTCTTTGCTGGTGGGGTTAAAATTTTCCCTATGTGCTTCAGGACTCTACCTCAGCCATGTCTTTCTATGAGCATTGAGTTTGTTAATTATGCATGTTTCTTACCCAGCTTTAAAAGATGATTCAGTTATTATTGGGGAGTTTCTTTCCACGTAGTTGAGGGATAAGTTGATAAGGTTGAGCTGACCTAGCCACAATTATCTGTGGGATTATGAAGAATGAGGGAGGAATTATGCTTTGTAATTATACTTTTTTTTAATTCAGAAAAAAAATTACTTATGATGACCCAGGCTAAATGACCTCGGTCTTCAACAACCAGCATCATTTATTTCTAGGTCAATTGACTTGTAATATTAAGTATTCCAGATTTGAGGCTTACTGAAGAAAAGATATGGGGTCATTTATAATCCTGTAGACTATGACCTTCTACCAGGATCTACTCAAGACCTCATCACACATTACATTCAACTTCTTTCTGGTGGTGAAATTATCAGTGAAGAGCTCAGCCAACCTAACCAAGATCACTTGGAAGTGTACCTTAGGAAGTAGAATGAATGTAATTCTTCTTTTTCCCCTTTGTTATATGCAGACGAATTAATTTATAGTTCCCAGAGAAATTTTCACTTTTGCTTAGTGTCAGATTTTCCATCCAAGTCTTCTATAAACAGAGGCAATAGGACTTGACATTAGGACAGGGCTTTGGAATCTGGAGATGGACACTGTCTGTCTTTGATTCTCTGCAAAATGTGTCGGTCTGGCCTCTTAGGCCTTAGTTTCTTCCTCCAAAAATGGGAATGAAATCTGCTCATTCATTTACTTCAGAAGATTTTAAGGGAATTATTTAAAAAGCGTTTTTTAATGTTCTGGGTAACTCAAGTGGAAGGCACTGGATGTGAGAAAATTTTTTAAATGAGAAATCTCTTGAATATGAATTGAGTAATCTCTTAGGTCCTTCAGATAAGATATGAAGTGATCTTTAGGCTCAGGAGGCCGTCTTTTGGGAAAGTGCTATGGCTCACTTCTACCACTGGAAACTTATATGTAGGAAAATGATTCTTGGCCCTGCTCTGAGGTTTAAACAGTGTTCAACCTTGAAGGATTGATTTTAAATGTAAGGGTCATTTCAACTCTTTCGTAAGTTCTTATATTACTTTTGTTAAACTAGGCTGAACATTTACCTCTAGATGAAAAAAATCAATGCTTTAGTGTATAGTTTTCTCATAAAATAACCTATGCCTTTGTTTGTTTATTTCTTTTTGCAGACAAAACTGTGTGGAGTTTTATCCTATATTCATAATTACATTATGGATGGCTGGATGGTATTTCAACCAAGGTAATGTTAAAATACAGTCAACTGTGTTCTAATGATGACTGTGGTGCTTAAACAATTAAGGAGCAGATATGTAGCTAGGCACGGTGGCCCACACCTGTAATCCCAGAACTTTAGGAGGCCCAGGTGGGCGGATCACCTGAGGTCAGGAGTTTGAGACCAGCCTGGCCAACATGGTGAAACCCTGTCCCTACCAAAAATACAAAAATTAGCTGGGCACGGTGGCATGCACCTGTAGTCCCAGCTACTCAGGAGGCTGAAGCAGGAGAATCCCTTGAACATGAGGGCTGAGGTTGCAGTGAGCTGAGATCATGCCACTGCACTGCAGCCTGGGTGACAAAGACTCTGTCTCAAAAGACCAAACAAACAAACAAAGACAGAAGCAGATATGCAACTATATAGCTACCAAACCTAAAGAAAATAAGCAATGTGTGCATCTGAGTGCTATGTTGCAGATATATGAACTTTGGCTTTATTCTGATTTAATTCAATAATGAAAACATATTGAGACAAACTATATGCTAGGTACTCAAGGATGAAAACAGCATGAGCTTTGTCTTCAAATCTAATAATCTATAGTTGACTCTTGAACAAGGCAGAAGTTGGGGTGCTACCCCTACACACAGTAGAAAATCTGCATGTAACTTTTGACTCCCCAGAAACTGAACTATTAATATCCTATTGGCCAGGAAGCCTTACTGAGCAGTCTGCTAATACATATGTTGCATGTTTTATGTTTTATTTACTGTTTTCTTGCAATAAAGCTAGAGAAAATAAAATGTTATTAAAATCATAAGGAAGAGCAAATATATTTACTATTTATTAAGTGGAACTGGACCATCATAAAGGTCTTCATCCTCATTTTCATGTTGAGTAAGCTGAGGAAGAGGAAGAAGAGGGGTTGGTTTTGCTGTCTCAAGGGTGGCAGGTCAGAAAAGGTGAAACAGGTGGAAGGGAAGACAGGATTGGCAGGTGCAGTAGGTATAAATTTATAGAAATATCATTTCTGATGTTTTTGCTTTTTTTCTTAAAAGTGTTTCTATACAGTACCAGTCCTTCTCCCACTGTTGCCTTTAGTTTCAGTGCTTGTATCATAGACAGGCCCATGTCATACAAGAAGTAAACAAACAGTCTTGAATCATCAAAACCCTTCTGCCAGATTGTCTAATGTCACTTTGTTTTCTGGTACTGCCTCTTCTCTTTTCTTCCTTATCATCTGGCAGTGGTTCAGAACACTTGTCTCCACCAAGTCATCTTCTGTTAATTCATCTGCTGTGGTGTCTATTAGCTCTTTAATTTCTCCAAGATTCATATCTTGAGACCCTTTATCCCCCACCTTTTTTTGCCATAGGCACTATCTCTTTCATGATTTCCTTGATTGGTTCTGTTGTAAATCCTGTGAATGCCATGTACAATGTCTGTACACAGTGTTCTCCAATAAGAATGTATTGTTTCAGGCTTGATGGCTTTCACAACCTTCCTATAACAATGCTGGCATCTTCAATGGTGTAATCTTTGAAGACATTCATAATACTCTATCAGGTTCTCTTCCATAACATTGATGATCCTTCCATAGAATACCTTGTGCAATGAACCTTAAAGGTCCTGATAACCCCTGATTTAGAGGCTGAATTAAATATGTTGTGTTTGGGGTGAGTAGACAATTTTTATGCCTTTAGCATATCAAAAGAATGTTAGAAGGTAATCTCATCCTGAATTCAGGGACAAAGCATTGATGGAACCAATCCAGAAAAAGGGTTCTTGTTGTCCAAGCTTTTTTTTTGTACCATCAAATGACCGGAAGGTGCTCAGGGGTTAACAACTTTACAGATAAGGGCAGTCCTGATTATAAACCTGGCTGCATTTACACAAAACAGTAGAGTTAGCCTAACTTCCTGCCTTAAATCCTGGAGATTGCTTCTCTTCTTTACTAATAAATATCCTGTGTGACTTTTTTTTTTTTTTCCAGGACAGGGTACTTTTGTCTGCATTAAAAACCTGTTCAGGCAGATAGCCTTTCTCTTCAATGATTTTCTTAGTGGTGCCTGGGAACTTGTGTATTGCTTCTTTGTTGGTAGAAGCTGCTTCTCCTGTTATCTTGATATAACAAGCCAAACTTCTTTCTAAAATTATCAAACCATCCTTTGCTGGCATTAAATTCTTCAGCTTTAGAGCCTTCATCTTCCTTTTCCTTTAAGTTGTCACATAAGGATTTTGCTTTTTCTTGAATCCTATTAGAATCTATAAGTATGCATTTCTTATAGCAATCCTGCCCCCACATAAAAGCTGCATTTTCAATATGAGATAAAAAGATATTTTGAAAAAAGTGTAAGGTTTTTGCCTTTTTTAAAAACACTGGTTCTTGCACTGAATTCATTTATCTTGCAATGGTGGTCAACCACAGCTCACACCTGCAGACCTCAATCTATGACACATATTAAGCCATTCAATTTTTTCTTGTAATGTCATGACTTTTCTCTGCTTTTTGGGAGCACTTTCAGCACCACTAGTAGCAATTTGTATGGGTCTCATGGCATTATTCAAGGCTTATGGTATTGCACTAAACATGGTGAAAACAGGCAAAAACACTGAGAGATCACTTTTTACTGCAATACGCAATTTGCTGAAGGGAAGAACTGCTCAGGTGGAGATGTTAGCCTTATCTGTTAAGCAGATACTTGCAACACTTGAGCTCACTGCAATAGCAAAGGAGGTAGCTACAAAAGAATTACAGTAGTATAGTATTACTATAGTTAATTTTATGCAGTTATGATTTAATACTGCATTTTAACATTTATTTACATTTCTCTTAACTACAAATGGCACCATGTATTATGGTCTGTGTGTGCTTTGATAAATTTCAACTTTTTATAAGATATATATATTATATATATACACACACATATATATAGGCTTTCTGCTGAAGCTTTTTAAAAATTTGTATATATTTTATGATAGTAAATGATAAAATAGACCAGTATCTACATCTATTTTATGCATTTGTGACATACCTTTTTTCTAATTTTTCAGAATTTCTGGGCTATGTGGTTCATTTGTGAGTTTTGTGAAATTATCACAAATCTCCAAAATGTTTTCCAATATATTTATGTATTTATTTCTGTAAACCCGCCACCTACACAATCCAATATATTTACAAATTGTATAATGAATAAATGTATAAATGGACCTGTGCAGTTAGAACCCATGCCGTTGAAGGGCACCTGTAATTCTAATTAATTGAAGGAACAGGACACAGAGTGAACAATTTACATTAATACTTATATCTGGTCAGGCCCAGAGGCTTGTACCTGGGCTTCTAATCTCAGCAATTTGGGAGGCTGAGGTGGAGGGATTGCTTGAGGCCAGAAATTCAAGACCAGCCTGGGCAACAAAGGAGACTCTGTGTCTACAAATTTTTTTTTAAAAAAACTTCTGGTCACACATGTGGTTCCAGCTACTTGGGAGGCTGAGGCGGGAGGATCTCTCAAGCCCAAGAGTTTCAGGCTGCAGTGAATCATGCTAGCACTACCACACTCCAGCATGGGTGACAGTGAGACCCTGTCTCAAAAAGAAGCTAATCATGATTATTATTATAGCTATAATTTATTGAGCACTTACTGTGTGCCAGGTACTGTTTTTAAGTTTTATGCACGCATTGTGCCATGTGTAAGATTTACAGGATTTAAAGCCTTCACATGAGCAAGGGTCTATAATTAATTTCTACTTTACAGATGAGGAAACTGAGGTACAGAGATGTTAGATAATTTGCCCAGCTTGACATTCACCAATGTGGGGAAAATTTCCCTTTCAAGTCAGAGCAGGTCTATAGGCATTTGTGTCAACAACCCATGCACCTTTTCTTAAAGGTCTCCGAGCATGTAGTGAGGTTGCTTGCATGTAGTGACTCGACAAACATCCACTTTCTATTTGACTCAGGTATCCTTGAGCTGAGGGCTTTCTCCTAACTTGGCTTATGTGTTTAATAGTGAGTCAGACCAGCCCCTGCTACCTTAGTAGGAGAAATTCAATCCCCTTTTTCTGGTAACTTTCACTGCCTCATTTGGGTCTGTACTTGATTGCCAATATTTAAATAAACCAAAATCCAGCTGCTTTCAAATGCAGTCCCATCACTCTCTTTCTTGTAGTTTTTACTGTGAACTGAGGAATTTCGGGTACAACGTCCTTTAGAGAAAGACTTCTTCACTTTATTCTAACTCATACTCGTGTCACTTAAGAGCATGAATGAAAGCAGCTGTTCCTTGTCATGTAAAAGCACATTAATAATTAATAAGAAAGTGCCTTTTGGTAATGGGACTCTGTCTCTGCCATTTGACCCTTTGGATTTCTCTGTGATGGCTGAATGAGGCAGACTGCCTGTCAAAAGATTTCTTGAGTATCTTGTCAGAAATTTCTTTTCATTCTTTCTCATCCAAAGTAAGTCACCTACTAGCTGTTCCTGAACTGTTCTCATTGGCTTTCTGCGTGGAACTTACTGGACAGGGCGTCTCAAAACTGAGATTGATGTTCAGAACTCTTTGGCTTCCTCAGACTCTGGTGGCTCTATCAGCTCTTCCTTCCCAGCTCTTTGCTCGGGCCCCTCGTTCCTGTCCCTCTGGCAGGATGTCATCCCCTCTGGAGGCCTTCCCTTACCCCATTCAGGCAGCCTCCTCTAGTTCCTCTCTCTCTTATTCCTCTCAATTTCTTTCACAGCACTTTCAAGTTTGTACTTTTCTTCTTATTTTTTCTTTGTTGTCTGTCTTTGCTGAAAGAATATACACTCTATGAAGTCAGGGAGCTTGTATCTTTTTCACTGCCAATCTCAATTCTTAAAGTAATATGGTAGACATGGAGCTGGGTGTGGTGGTTCACATCTGTAATCCTAGCACTTTGGGAGGCCAAGACAGGAGGATGGCTTGAGCCCAGAAGTTCAAGACTAGCCTGGGCAACAGAGAGAGGCCTTGTCTCTACAAAAAAGTTAAAAAAATTGGACAGATGTGGTGGCATATGCCTGTGGTCCCAGCTAATTAGGAGGCTGAGGTGGGAGGATCGCTTGAGCCCGGGAGGTCAAGGCTGTAGTGAGTCAAGATCACGCCACACATTCCTGCCTGGGTGACAGAGCAAGACCCTGTCTCAAGAAAAAAACAATCTTGTGACCAAGTAAAATAATAAATTGAATTTAATCTAACACATCGCACTACCACACATAGACTCCAAATGTTTAAAATAGGGCTCTGGCATGTACATTTGTGAGGTGCTGAGGAAGAGAGTGGGGCCCTAACATAAGGAAGACATTGATATTTTTCACTGAATGGGATGATAGAACATCGTCATACTGTATTTCACATTTCTTTTTGAGATAAAGTGTATATGTAATAAACTGCATAAATCTTCAATGAATTTTGAGAAGTACACATACTAGTGTCGTCCAAACCTTTCTCAAGATCTAGAACGTGGCCGGGCACAGTGGCTCATGCCTGTAATCCCAGCACTTAGGGAGGCCGAGGCAGGTGGATCACAAGGTCAAGAGATCACAGCCATCCTGGCCAACATGGTGAAACCCCATCTCTACTAAAAAAATACAAAAATTAGGTGGGTGTGGTGGTGCACACCTGTAGTCTCAGCTACTCGGGAGGCTGAGGCAGGAGAATTGCTTGAACCCAGGAGGTAGAGATTGCAGTGAGCCAAAATTGCACCACTGCACTCTAGCCTGGCACCTGGCGACAGAGCAAAACTCTGTCTCAAAAAAAAAAAAAAAAAAAAAAAATAGATCTAGAACATGACAACCACCCAGAAAATATCCTCTTGCTTCTCCCAGTCAGGCCCCATTCTGACTCCCTTCCAGATGCAAACACTTCTGATTTTTTTCATCATTTAATATTGTCCATTCTAGAACTTCATGTAATTGGAATCATGCAGTATGTAGCCTTTGCAGTGCTCCATTCACTCAGCAAAATGTTTTTAGTAGATTCACTGTGTTGCATGTATCTGTTTCTTTTCATGGCTGAGTAGCATTCCATTGAATAGACTCTATCACAACTTGGTTATTCATTCTCCTGTTGATAGACTTCTGGGCTGTTTCCAGTTTTTAGCTATTATTTGTAAAGCTGCAATTAACATTCTTAAACAAATCCTTTTATGAACGTGTGTTTTAATTCCTCTTGGGTAAATGCATAGGAATTAGATTGCCAAGTCAAATGGTATGCTCCATCTTATAAGAAACTACCAGAACTTTTCCCAAAGTGGCTGTACTATTTTGCATTCCTGCCAATGATGTATGAGGATTCCAATTGCTCCATATCCTCACCAGCATTTTGTAATGTTTTTGTTTGTTGGTTGGTTGGATTTTTACAATTTTAGTCATTCTGGTGAATGTGTGATGGTGCCATGTCATTATAGTTTTTTTTTTTTTTCAGACAGAGTCTCAATTTGTTGCCCAGGCTGGAGTGCAGTGGCGTGATCTTGACTCACTGCAACCTCTGCCTCCTGTGTTCAAGTGATTCTCCTGCCTCAGCCTCCTGAATAGCTGGGATTACAGGTGCATGCCACTATGCCCAGCTAATTTTTGTATTTTTAGTAGACACAAGGTTTCACCATTGTTGGCCAGGCTGGTCTCGAACTCCTGACCTCAAGTGATCCACCCTCCATGGCCTCCCAAGTGCTGTGATTACAAGCGTGAGCCACTGCATTCAGCCTTATTATAGTTTTAAGTGGGAATTTGTTGATGTTCAATCACGTTGAAACATTTTTCTTGTGATTTTCGGCACATGTGTTTTTCTTCCTAGATGGATTCTCTCTATATTCTGAATACAAGTATTTTGTCAGTTATATGTTTTGTGAATATTTTCTGTCTTCATACGACAGCTTAGGAGACTGCTGTTGTATTTTGTACCTTTCCTTTTTTTTTTCTCCCCCCCTACAGTTTTTGCTACTTGTCTGGGTCTGGGGTACATATATAGCCGTCACTTATACTTCTGGGGATATTCAGAAGCTGCTAAAAAAAGGTAAGGAGAACCCTGTAATTGTGTATTTATGCAAAAAGTAGCAGGATAAGGTCTGGGTCAGTTTCCTTCTCCTGAGATATATTAACAGCTCTGAGAGTTGTGGTGGCAAAAGTAATCCATGCTGCCTGAGGCCAAGTCTTGCCAGGCCATACACAATTAGGCATGAGATGGGAAAATGCAAGTATAAAACTGTGCAATGAATGTGTTCTCTAGATCCTTGCAAAAATTTTGCATAATATCCAGAAAGTTACCAAGGAAGTCATCCTGCCTAACCATGATAATGCTCTGAATGTTCAAAGAAACCAAGTGGGCCGAGGCGGGTGGATCACGAGGTCAAGAGATCGAGACCATCCTGGTCAACAAGGTGAAACCCCGTCTCTACTAAAATTACAAAAAAATTAGCTGGGCATGGTGGCGCGCACCTGTAATCCCAGCTACTCAGGAGGCTGAGGCAGGTGAATTGCCTGAACCCAGGAGGCGGAGGTTGCGGTGAGCCGAGATCGCGCCATTGCACTCCAGCCTGGGTAACAACAGTGAAACTCCGTCTCAAAAAAAAAAAAAAAAAAAAAAAAGAAACCAAGTGATCTCCATGGCTAGGCATTTTCTTTAATTTATGTGATGAGCCAAAATTTTCAAATTGCAAAAATATAGAAGTTCTGGGCAGTGTCAATGAGAGGACAGCCTATTTCAGGGCTCTCAGCTTCCTCATTACAGCCCAGTTTGTCACTTTTCTCCCTTATGTCCACCCTGCAGGATCAGTGGTTTCCGATTGAGTTTGGGGATTTTGGCCTTGTTGACCTTCCTAGGTGCCCTGGGAATTGCAAACAGCTTTCTGGATGAATATCTGGACCTCAATATTGCCAAGAAACTGAGGCGGCACTTCTAACTTTTTCTCTTCCCTTTAATGCTTGCAGAAGCTGTTCCCACCCTGAAGGTAATGTGATGTCATTTGTTAAATACAAACAAATAAAGCCTTTATTCTGTTTTTCTTGAATTGGCTTTGTAGAAGCACACCCTTTAGAGAATACATTTCCTGTTTATGAATTGAAATTTGCTTGGGGTAGGTATATTCATATCATCAGTGGAAGTGTGTTATGTCCTAGTTTTAGAAATGCAGCTGAAGTCATGATCTGTTGTGTGGGAACAGAGCAGCCTGGCCCGTGCGCTGTCCTTTCTGAGGACTGCTGACATAGCCTGCTACTCTGACTGCTTCTCTCTTGCTCTCTTTTTTATTTGAGATGGAGTTTTGCTTCTGTTGCCCAAGCTGGAGTGCAATGGTGTGATCTTAGCTCACTGCAACCTTAGCCTCCCAGATTCAAGCGATTCTCCTGCCCCAGCCTCCCAAGTAGCTGGGATTACAGGCATGTGCCACCACACCTGGCTAATTTTAGATTTTTAGTAGAGATGAGGTTTCTCCATGTTGGTCAGGCTGGTCTTGAACCCCCGACCTCAAGTGATCCACCCTCCTCAGCCTCCCAAAGTGCTGGGATTACAGGTATGAGCCACCACGCCCAACCTATGACTGCTTCTCTCTTGATGGAAAGTTTCAGACAGACACTGATGAGGCAGCTGAGCACCTTCATTGATTATAGGAAAGCAACAGATAGGAAGGCACGTGGGGGAAGTCAGGCAAACACATAGAGTAGTCAGCGAAGGGAGTAATCAACTGATAGCACAAATCAAAACAGGTTATAAAAATGTACTTTATAAAGGAAAAAGTGTTTCCAAGCTAAAGAGCTTGCTGCCTGATGCCCATACTGTATCACCAGGTTTTGAGAAAAGAAAAGCTTTATTTTTAAAAAAGAGACAATCTTTCTCTGGTCTCATTTCACCCAGGCTGGAAGCTCCAACACGTGGCTCAAGTGAGCGTCCTGCTTCAGCCTCCCAAAGTGCTGGGATTCAGGTGTGAGCCTCTCTGCCCAGCCAAGAAAAGCTTTATATTGCAAGTCAACTCACAAGGAGATAGGAGTCAAGCTCAAATCCGTCTCCCTCTGCTGGCTTCCAAGCAGTATTTTTATTAGAAAATGTCATGGGTAAATTCTGAGATTAGTAAGTAATCAGTGGAAAGAAAGGGGAGATCTGGACAGTCCTTGGGCATGTAAGTTATCTCTTTATGCTGCCTCAGGGGTAGCACGTGCAAATTCCAGGGGAGCTAGTATGAAATGTGGTAGAAATTCAGGCTATGACACCAGCCAGCTTGTTCTGTGCAGACTCCAGTTAGCCATCTTGGTTCCCACAGATTTCACCCAGTTTTTTAAAATCTCATAAGCAGAGAGAGTTTCAGTGTTTCAGCAAGTTATTTCTATTCTTATCTGCCATCCTCCAAACTCAAGAATTTCCTTTAGTTATTGGTCTCTTTAACTTGTTGGGGTACAATTTCAAGAGGACAAAGAAAAAAAAAAGTATATCATTTCAACGAATTGCCCAGGGATCAGTGCAAAGGGAATATTCCTTCTCTTGGTTGAGGAAGGTGGATCATGCTCACAGCTATAGAACCCGGGTTGGTTTCTGCTACACACCTGTGTCATGTGGGGTTTGGAGGGTGATATGGGAAGTACAGTGGAACCCCCAAAATTATTCTGACCCTGATGTGCAGTCATTGTCTGACACAATGCAGATGACTTTTCTTCATTTTCTTCGTTGTAAAATGAGAATGATTCTACCTCACAGGTTTCAAGGAAAAGGTAAAATGAATTATGAGCATACATAACACATTTTGACATCAGGAAAAGGGCCCTCTGTCAATTTTTCCCCAAAAAATTGAAGAGCCTTGAGAGTCTGGTGTGGGCATCTTCAAAAGTTGTTTATTAATACTTTTCTTTTTTTGTGGGTACAATAGAAGTTGCAACGGCCAGGAATAATATTAATAGAAGAAATAAAGACACTTAAATACTAGTGTTTCCATAATATATAACCACCTGCATTCCAAATAGCAGTGCAGTATTAAATACCCCAAAGCACACTGAGAATATACTAGCCTGGGAGTGGGCACATTTGCATACTAGTTCAGGTTGCCCCAGTAATTGGCCATTTAAATTTGGACAAGGCACTCCATCAGTAAGAGGTCATGAAGCAAAGAAGTAAAGACTCCAGAATCAGACTCACCTGTCCTGTCCTGTCCTGTCCTGTCCTATCCTATCCTATCCTGTCCTATCCTATTACTTGCTGGCTGTGCTTCCTCAGCACTTTGTAATGCTCTGCCTTGGTTTTCTTTTAGGTAAATGGGGCAAATTGCTAAAAAGCTTTGATTCTATGGTCTTTTTACTTAATATTCTGATCAATTATGATCATGACTTGGATTGTGACATTTTAATTGTTTTATACATTGAGATCAATGAAGGACAGGAAGGCAAATTTTTGATACTAAGGCATAATTACTTCATAACCAAGTCCTTTGCAAGTTGAAAAGAAACTTTCCAGATCTTACAATTAAATGTTTTTTTGTTGTTTGTTTTGAGATGGAGTCTTGCTCTGTTGCCAGGCTAGAAAGCAGCCTGGTGATTCAAGTGATTCTCCTGCCTCAGCTTCATAAGTAGCTGGGACTACAGCTATGCACCACCATGGCCAGCTAATTTTTGTATTTTTAGTAGAGACGTGGTTTTACCATGTTGGCCAGGATGGTCTCAATCTCTTGCCCTCGTGATCCACCTGCCTTGACCTCCTAAAGTGCTGGGATTACAGGCTTGCGCCACCACGCCCAGCCCAAAGATTTTTAAACAATTTGTTTTGCACTTAAACTGGTTCTGAGCAGGGTAACACACACACACACACACACACACACAGACACACACACACTTTGGTTAAACACATGAAAATAGGCAATGGGTGTAGCAGACTATCAAAGCCTTGTCAGTTTAAACATTCAAAAGATAGATTTTCCTTTGTTCTAATTGCTGTTTCTGACGTTTCCCCCCTTTCTTTTACAAGAGAACCATTAATCCTAAGGGTTGCAAAGGGACAAAGATCCATATTCTGTATTCCTGCCTAACTATGAGGGTCTCTTGCATTCAGGGTATAGAGGAGCTTAGTCAGAAAGCATCAGTATGGTGAGGGTCATTCATGACTCTTAAGTTTTGACAAGAGGTGATACCTGGAAGATTAATTAGTGTTTAGTTTAAGAAAACATTCAGTAATATTGTTCTGTATTCTTACACAAAGAGTATGACAGCAATATTGTCTGCGAGAGTAAAGCAAAATAAGTTATTCCAAGTAAACTAAATTAGAAGTCTTTCCATGAACTGTGCAACTGTTGAAACCATGCTGATATGGGGACCATAGCTGATTGCAATGTCCTCAGAATTAGAATACTGATCCAGACTTTTACATTACCCATCCCTCTTGTTTCTTCTGAGCAGCAGTTAGAGATCACTGGTTGGTCCACAGGAATAAACAGGATTAGCCTAAATTGCAGAAACAAACTTAAAAACAACTAATGAGCCTAGAATTTAATAGTAAGTATACCATAGTTCTTGAAACATACTATTTCTCTCTCTAGTTTCCCATTTTTACTAAAGACAAATTATGGTAAGACTGATTTGCTTTATTATACTTGGCCTAATTATTTGTATAAAGTGCAGCAAGAATAATTATTTTTCACATAAGCATTTTAATTAGCTTTTTGGGAACTCTGTTTCATAAAGAATCTCAGTTAAGACTTTTCTTAAAGCTGAGCCCTGCCATGAGTTTGTACCCTCAAATACCTATGAGTTGGGAAAATTCCTCTCCTTTTGAGGTCCCAAGATAACTTGGGGCTCCTGGACCTGTGAGAAACTGACATTCTTTACTTACCATAGGTCAGAAACCCTGTTCAGGAACTGTGTAGGCAAGGTATGAGGCCAGTTCCCCACAGGGATTTCATTGGCTTTACAAGTCAAGTTTGATTCTTTAAAGGAAAGCACACCATTCCAGTCAAAGCCTTGGTAAAATAACCAGTTTCTCCAATCGTGTCCTGTTACAAATGAAAACAGATTTGTTTTGCACTTATGCAAATAATTATATTGCCATAAATTAAGAATACTCACAGCTAATTTCCAAATTCTGCAGAAATCAAGTAGAGAGAAATATGTTCCAAATTTTGTTCACAGCAGTATACTTGACTCAATTGCTACAAGCTGTAAATAGCTCAAAAGAAAAGTTTCACTGACTCTGAAAAACAAAGGATCAGCCATGTTTTAAGCAAAGTTAAAAAGATTACTTCATTTTTCTGTTGGTTTAGTTAATTCAGCTAACTCCTGTTCTACTTGATATTCATGAACATTCCATCTCTTCATGAGAGTTCTGAAAGTTGTTTCCTCTATTCTAATGTTACAATTTCCAAAGTTATTAGAAACCTGCATTTAGGAACACCTGCTAGAGTTCTATAGTTGATTATAAACCACCTTCTAGAGAGGATTAAAACAAGACAACAATTGCCTGTGGATGATAAAAAATTTTAGGACAGCTACTATTAAAGCCACATTGATAAGGAAATTTGGTTACTTCTGTGGCACACAAGATTTTACATAACAATTATAATTATTAATAACATACACCAAGTCATATTAGAATTATAGGAGTTTTCCATAACTTTGGAATATATACCAATAACACATTTATGCAAATATAGTCTAAAGAAAGAAAAATGTTTCACATTTGATAATGCTTCCTGTATGGTTTTTATACCAAAAAAGCCAAATTTCACCTTTACATTAATGTACTATTAATGTTAAACCCAATTATTAATAAAACCATATAGATATATTTACCTAATTTTAATGTTTAACAATAAAGTAAGATTCTTATAAACCTTTTATAACCCTTTACATTTTTTTTTTGTGACAGAGCATATCAGTGCTCTAAGAAAAACCTGTTGTGCTTTTATTCTGATGTTTATGGAAAAACTGAACAATACCCTAGCCAATGTCCACACACAGAATCTTTTTTACAATTAATTTTTTCCAAACTTGTCACAAGTGTTCAAGCCTTTAGCTTTATTCTATTAAACTTAAAACAAATCTTTAATCCTTTAGGCAAAAAACAAAAACAAAACAAAACAAAACAAAAAACACCACATTCCCATGCCTTATAATCTTTTACCAAAAGTACATTCTACTTTCCTTACACACCTTACACATAAAACTGTTTCTTCAGTTGTCTCAATTGCAGATTACAATGTTAACTTTTTGCAACTTTTATTTTTGGTGAAAACCTTGGTGAGTAAGAAATTTCAATTATGTACTAGATGTGAAGACTAGCCCAGGACACACCAGGCAGAAGTGCAGGTAAGAGCCGACTTTGCAGCATAGCTAGGGGGCGTGGCTAACTCCACATGTCCCCAGGCCTTATCTAGAATCTAATGGCTTTAAGGTAGGTAAATTGAACAATTTTCTCTTTTTTTTTTTTTTTTTTTTGAGAAAGAGTCTCGCTCTGTCACCCAGGCTAGAGTGCAGTGGTGCAATCTTGGCTCACTGGAGCCTCTCCCTCCTGGGTTCAACTGATTCTCCTCTCTCAGCCACCCAAGTAGCTGGGGCTACAGGTGTGTGCCACCACACCAAGTTAATTTTGCAATTTTAGTATAAATGAGGTTTCACCACGTTGGCTAGGCTGGTCTTGAACTCCTGACCTCAGGTGATCCACTCGCCTTGGCCTCCCAAAGTGCTGGGATTACAGGCGTGAGCCACCACACCTGACCCAATTGAACAATTTTCAAAAGTTAAACAGTTTGACCTTAAAGCATTTAGAAAATTTGATATTTGACCTTAATTTAGACCAAATGTCTACATTTTCAAGACATTTTATTTTATCATTAATCTTTAAAACTGTCTTTATTTTCAAAGAGTACTAGACTTACCTGAACAAAAAGGCATTAGTTTATATTTTTCTGACAAAATATTTGATTTAAGTGCTTATTTTCCTAAGCTAATTAATTAGCGTTGTATGTTTACAAGTGCTGAATCTTCTGTCTATTCATATGTTTACAAGTGCTGAATCTTCTGTCTATTCATATGTGTTGTATGTTTATATTAGTGGCTTCAGGGTGGAGCCCCTGGAAGAACAGGTCTGGGAAAGCATGCATTTCTATGGTCAAATAAACAGCAAATAAGCAGCTGAACGCAAAGACAGATCCGCAAAATTAAGGGTGCCATTTCATACTGGTTCCTAGATTCCCCAAAGGAGGGAATTACTATGGGAGGAGACAGTGCAGTGCTTCTATTCTGCATTTCATTGCAAGGAAACCCAAAGCCAATCAGCCCATTTTGTAATCCGCCCATCCCTCATGGGAGTCTGATGTCCCAGTGTGGGATGGAGATGTTTCCTTATTTTCCAGGTGGATAAGAGCATGCTTCCCTGTTGCAACTATGCGAAGAATCAAAGTATCCCTCCGTAACTACTATTACCTATCCCTTAAAGTATGTTTCCTACCTAGTTATTACACACCAAAGCTCTCTCATAATGAAAAGTAGTTTTTGATACCCCCAAAACTCAAAACTTTCAGATAACACAATGCAAAACAAAACGGAGCCTTTGATTTTGAGAGGGATCTATCTGCTTTTAATTCCTGTGGTTTCATGAGGAAAACAGAGGGTTCCCACCCCCAAAATGGGGTCTGTGGCGCCTTATCTGTTTTTCCCCAGGAGTCCCAGGCTACCAGAAGTTATCTTAGGGCCTCTCATGTGTGCATTACGAGTGGCAAGACAAATAAAAAAAATTAAAATGGAGAAAAATAATTCAGTTGACTGAGAAGAAAAAGCATTTTTCCAGAGAAACAAGTTCCAAAAAGAGAAAAACATTAATGGCATTTTAAATATATCATCTATTGCTCATTTATCCATTTATAATTAAGCTGACTTCTAACCATAGTGCTCTTTTAAAAAGAAACCCTTTCAGGTCTCTTATTGGACTTTAACAATGCCAAGCAGCCAATATTTCGAGCTTCTGAACTTTACCAAAGGTAACCTCCTAGGTGCTTAGAGAAAGGAAAATTTAAGACAGTCCATGGAGGAGAAGGGAAAAGACAAGTTCATGCAGACAGGAAACCAGAAACAACTTACTTCCTAGGTGGGATCAAACCCTGACCACCAATATGAAAGTGAAAGATCTTAGCTACTGAGCTACAGCAAGGAGTGGTCTCCATTTCTTTTCCCAGAAGGAGTCCAGAGTAGTTAATTTTGAGCTTGCAAAGGCTTTTAATTATTTAATATAAACTTTATTCAAAATAAACTTTTTTAATTTTGAATGTTTATTGTCCTTGTTTTTAACATAATTTACACATTTACATTATTATAATGGGTATGTTTAACAACTGACTTGCAAGAAAATTCTTGAAAATTGAATAACTGGCCCACCTGGGCTGGGATGAGCCAGCTGGAGCACACCACTGCCCCTCAGCCTCTAAGAGGCCTCAGGATTACGGTGTCCATCTTATGATATTGGCCCAAAGGAGATAGTCTTGGAGGTGCTGCTGACTATTGAACTTCCTTTTGGAATGTATGGGAGAAGGCAGAGAAAGGAATCTTGAGGCATACTGCATCCAGGGACTGCTATTCTGTCCACTTATTCAGCTGTGAATGTCGGTGTTCTTTCTTCCTCTTGTCTGCTACATGCAGGCCCAGAATGTAGGGGTTAGTCAAAGGTACAGGAAAGGAAAAGAGAAAAGGGCAAGAGCCCATCCCCCAAGGAAGGAAGGGCTCCGGGTGCAGAGGGAGCAGGAGCTGAGGTGGAGATGGCCACTGCCTCTCTCGCCCTCTGTTCCATCCCTTGGCTTAAGAAAAGCATTACTGGGTATATACCCAAAGGGTTATAAATCATTCTGTTATAAAGACACATGCACACATATGCTCATAGTGGCACTGTTTACAATATCAAAGACCTGGAACCAACCCAAATGCCCATCGACGATAGACTGGACAAAGAAAATGTGGCACATATACACCATGGAATACTATGCAGCCATAAGAAACGATGACTTCGTGTCCTTTGCAGGGACATGGATGAATCTGGAAACCATCATTCTCAGCAAACTGACACAAGAACAGAAAGTCAAACACTGCCTGTTCTCACTCATAGGCGGGTGTTGAACAGTGAGAACACAGGGACACAGGGAGGGGAGCATCACACACTGGGGTCTGTTGGGGGGGCCAAAGGAGGGATAGCTGGGGGGTGGTGGTGGTACGGAGATCAGGGAGGGATAACATGGGGAGAAATGCCAGATGTAGGTGACAGGGATGGAGGCAGCAACCACATTGCCACGTGTGTACCTATGCAACAATCCTGCATGATCTGCACATGTACCCCAGAACCTGAAGTACAATTAAAAAAAAAACCCCAAAAAACCAAACAAACGAAAAAAGCAGTTTAGCAGAGTGGGACTGACACTTTTTATTGGTCTGGCTGGCGTGCCTAGTGGAAAGCTCAGACAGAGCTTCCTATCTGCCCTGGCTCCCATCTTTCCTCTCCTAGAAGTTCATCACACACCCCGAGGGAAGAGTGTCCTGGGCAGAGGTGGCAGGCAAAGCCAGGGTAAAAACTCCAGGGCTGGGAAGCAAAAGGGGCTCAGGGTGACGCAGAAAATGTGACGTTGCGAGGCCATCCAGATAGTGTCCTTCGGGGTAGAGGAGAAGCTGCTTCCCTGCAGAGACTCCTCTGCCCTCACCAGGAATGGGAGGAGCAGGAGGAAAAGCTGCCCCAAGAGGCTCCCTACTGGGCCCTTCGTGCCCATCAGCATCTCCCGGATGTTGTCCTCAGCTTCCTTAACGCTCTGCTCCAGGTAGGACTTTTTCTATTCTAGTTCTTTAATTTTTTTCTTCTGCTATTTTCTGCTCTAACAGTTGGTTGTGAATTGCTTCCTTCGACTGAAGAACGAACATTCTTCCTACACCTTCGTACATGTTAGTCTCGTCTACCAAAGGCATAATCTCTGTAAGATGTGCATGCTTTTTCATTCTGATTAGATGTTCAGTCTGTATGTCTGCGAGCTTCACCTTCTTTTGAATGTCTATAACTTTGGCTTGAAGCTCTGTGAAGGCCTTCTTCAACTCAAGATCCACGGGGGCAGCCATCTTGGTGCACTCTATGCCTATTTAATATGATTTTTAGAGCTAACTATAACATGAACCCTAAAATTCCTGTTCCCTGGAAGGCAGAGACCAAGAGAAGGTACCACCATGTGGCTAAAAGGTCAGGCGCCCAACGACATAAAACAAGGTGGAGACTTCATCTGTTTTTTTTTTTTTGTTTCAGGGACCTATGGCCAAGTTTGTTGCTGACCAGCATGCTAGTTCATCTTGAAAAGTGGGCTCACAGGTGTTCTAAGCCCATGTTTTATCCTAAAGTACCCCTCGACACAGAAAAATGAATTCATAGCACAAAATACACCAGCCTGACTAGTCTTAGAATTCTTTTTTGCATTAATCAAAACTTTACAGAGGAAATAAACACTGATTTTTTTCCCCCATTCATTCAACTGTTTGTACAGAGAGAGAGAAGCCAGAAATCTGACTGGTAAGAAAGTCTTGCCCTTTTGCCAGCATGCCAGGCTTCTGGGTTCCCTTTCCCTGAGTGGCCCTAGTGATCCTGCTTGTGGCACCATCCCCCTTGGGGGCCAAGCCACATCATAAAGGAAAAGCATTTTTTGTTCTGGCCAGAGCAAAATACACATGATAAAACATAGACATTAGCCACTCTGCTTAGCACCCAATATCAAACTGGCAAGGCTTAATTAAATTTGCCCTCAGATGGGCCTCATCATCTTTAATCCAACCTCTGACTAGGAGTTTCAACACCTGGTTTCTGGGCAAGATAGACGCCCTTAGTAATAGAAAAGTTAAGAAAGAGAAAGGAGAGAGAGAAGAGCATTGTCTGTGGGAGGGCGGGGAAGGTGATCTGATCAGGGAGGCCAGAGAAAGACCCACCCATTGCAGCGACACTGAAAAGTTTAGGTGGCTACTGTCAGTTGAGCAAGAATCTTTTCCAGCAATCCTACCAGCTTTAAGTTTCCCCTTCTAGGGAGGCAAAAGCTTCCCATGTTCCATGATCCTGAACATGCCTAATCCTCTCACCCATAGCAAAGTGCAAGGAAGATTAATCCAAAGAGAATGGCAGTTAACATCCTATAGTGCCCAACCTGTTCTTAGCCTAGAGGGACTTTCCCCAGAGGGGCCTCTAACCCCCTAAATCTTAGAAGGGGCTCTAACTCTCCTAAGTTGGGCTTCTAACCCGAGGCCGGTCAAGCATGCTTGCCTTTTATTAAGAGGAGCCTTTAACCCATTCTGTCTTAGGAGAGACTCTAACTCCGCTAAGTTGGGCCTCTAACCCAATCCCATTCTTTACCCACCACTTACCCAAAGTCTTCCAGTCGGTGCAACAGTCTATTTCCTTTGGGTTGGAGTAGGTATCTCCAGTATTGTCCCATGGTTCACCAGAAATATGTTAGAAGACTCCAATACTTACCCAAAGGTAGCTGCTGGGTCAGAGTTTCTGCACGATTGTTCCTTCTGTGGTAGCCAGAAATATGTTACAGGACAGAGAAATATGTTACAGGAAAGGGGTCCCGATCCAGACCCCAACAGAGGGTTCTTGGCTCTTGCGCAAGAAAGAATTCAGGGCGAGTCCACAGGGCAAAGTGAAAGCAAGTTTATCAAGAAAGTAAAGGAATAAAAGAATGCCTACTGCATAGAGCAGCCCTGAGGGCTGCTGGTTGCCTATTTTTATGGTTATTTCTTGATGATATGCTAAATGAGGGGTGGATTATTCATGCCTCTTCCTTATTAGATCATACAGGTTAACTTCCTGACGTTGCCATGGCATTTGTAAGCTGTAATCGCCCCGGCGGGAGTGTAGCAGTGAGAACAACCAGAGGTCACTCTCATCGCCATTTTGGTTTTGGTGGGCTTTGGCCGGCTCCTTTGCGGCAAACTGTTCTATCAGCAAGGTCTTTATGATCTGTATTTTGTGCTGAACTCCTCTCTCATCCGGTGACTTAAAATGCCTACACCATCTGGGTTTCAGTCTTATTTTACCAGCTTCTATTTAAGATGGAGTTGCTGTGGTTTACCCACCTCTGACAAAACTCCTGGGCTCCAGCGATCCGCTCATCTTGTCCTCCCAAAGTGCTGGGTGAGATTACAGGTGTGAGCCACAGTGCCCGGCCTGGGGAGCACCTTTAAACCAAGTCCCAGTCTTTGCCTGATCTTGCAGTAGAGCTCTGGAGCAAAATGATATCTGAGTTTGTTCAGAAAGTTAACTGGGCTTTCATACTCCTGCACCAGTGAGTCACTGGCTAAAGTCAGTCTGGAGGGGTACAAACTTGTAAGCACTTTCAGTTCTGTGGGCGTGTGCAGGTGAAGCCAGGCCATGGCTTTGAGATGGAAAGTGGCTTGGTAGGAGTGAGGTACACACAAGTGTGTGGGGATTGTTTACTGACTGCTCCCCAAGAACCTTTTATTACTTCCCCTCAATATATTCTGATTTTTCTTTTTTTGACAAAATATTTATTTTTCCAGTGGAGCCTCCCTACCTCCAGATGAACCAGTTGGAAATGGAATTGTTACAGTACTGAATCTACAAATGGATTGCACTAAGTTGCATGCAAAGTTGACTTTCCTCCCTTCCCTTTGCCTCATCCTTCAGAGTAAGGCAGCAAATTTACAAAGTATCAGTTGTGCAGTTGAATGCAAAGGCTGGGGATGATTAATCTCTCCCATTAAATAAATGTTTAAAGAATGGTATCAAAATTTTGAGAAAAGAACTGCAGTTAATCAATTAAAACCCAGGAATAATATGTCTGCTTAATGAAGATTGGCAATCCAGTGAGGATCTTAAAATAAACCATACTTCGGATTGATTCAGATAATCTTTTATTTTCATTTTTGTTTTCTTAAAAGTGGTATGTCAACATCACTTCATTTCTACATTTCAGAGTTCTGTACATTTCTTAAAAGGAAATAAGCAATGCTCAATGTACAAAGTAAAAACAGAAAGCTAGAAAAATCTGAATAAAATGGAGCAAGTTGCCATAGGTCATACAGTACAAATTAGTAATTAGATGTCATCTGAAGTGCAATACCACTGCTGTGATGATGAGTTAAGGAATGAAATAAAAATACTCTATTTTAAACAAACAGTATATATATATTTATATGTATATTTTTTTTACAGATAGTAGACCCAGTGATATCTGCAGTATTGTAAAAACTTATGTACAAATAACTTTTTTTAGACATTACATATACATCAGCACCGTAGTAAAAACAAAACCAAAACAAAAACCACCTTATTAAAATCTACCTCTCTATTAGTTGGTCCCAGTACTGAGCATTTGGAGGAAGCTTTTACAAGATAACGGAGCCCACCCCCTGTCCCAATTCCATTAGCCACCTCCAGTTTCTCATCATTGCTTATATGTTTGTTTCCTGTACCTTTCAGGAAAAGGTAATTCTGTTTTCTGTGTCTTCTCATTTGTTTCCTTTTTTTTTTTTTTTTGGTTTCATCTGTTTCCATTCAGTTTCTCCGGTGGCATCGCTCCCCATTTGGGGAGTTCAGGGTCACCCTGCTGCCACCTCTTTGGAGAGGGCACCCAGCCCCTGCCTGGGCTTCTCACCCACCAGGCACCTCTGGCTGTATATCCTGCCTTTTGCTGAGCAGATCTACAACCCGGGGTACACGGAGAGCAAGTCAAAGGCAATATTTGCCCACCATCTCCTCTCCAAACCCCTCTGTTCCCAGCTTTCCATGGAAACTTGCCTTCTCAGGACTGGATGTGGCCAGTTCAGCCCCACAGGCTCCGACTCTTTTGTGGTGAGCTGCCTGGGAGTGCACAGAAGGCAGCCAGTGTCCAGGACATGGAGGGAGGAGGGGACAGGAGAAAAGCATACGCCACTCTCACTTAGGACAACACTGAAGCCACAGGGCCTCCCAAAGGGAGATTGGGAGGGGAAGCAAGGAGCCTTGTGATTCCTTCCGACAGATTTCACTTAGGGCAGATGTGCGTCAATGACAAAGAGAACGACTGTACAGGACTTTGGAAGTGGATCACTTTGCCCATATGAAAGAAACTACATCCAAATAAGGTGGAGCAATTGCTCTTTTAGCTCCTCCACCTCTCGGGGATTTTATATTTGTCTTTCTGATGAGTAGGGATGATGGAAAAGGTGGATTTTAGAGCATCACTCCTCGGATTTCTCCCAAAGGGAGCCCGAACCGGTGACCTCCAGGCCATTTCTTCCTGGGGTTTCAAAAATATCAGATGTGGCTCACAAAAACTGAAGCCCAAACATCAGGGCAGCCCTCTCAGTTCCAGGCAGAGATATTAATTCAACTCTACGCACAGGAGAGAAAGAAGACTCCAGTGTTGCCTTTGCATTTTAGGTATTGTCTAAGTTCTTCCCGCATTTATATGGACTCTGCTCAAGACTCCCTAAAGATACACGCTTCACTTCTTGAATAGTCTGTAAGGAGAAGCAAGGGAAGGCTGGTGTGGAGGCAAGGAGGAATAAAGGCAGGGCTGCAGACAAAGGCTCCGGGCTGGTGGACACACAGGGGTCCAGCAGGGGTTTCTCCACCCTGCGGCCACCAGGAGAAGTGACCCACTGGATGTATGGGTCTTGTATCGGGCCCCAGTGGGCTCCAGCCCAACCTGGAGGGACTGCCACCAGGGGCACCAGCAGAGGCAGCCACCCCAGGACTGCCGGATGGACCCTGCTCCAAACTCATCTTGCTCTCCTTGTCACAGCAGAGCCTCTGCAATTCCTGAGGGTCACCACGGGGCATGAGGCAGACAGGCCTGCAGGATCCATTGTTGCCTCCCTGTGACCATCTCACTGTTCTTCATGCCTGCCCTCCAAATTCAGTAGCATGTCTTGAAGCCTGACATCTCCTGGCACCCAGAGCTCAGTGCATTTCCAACCTGAGCACCTGGCCTGTGCAACCACCCAGCCTCCTCTGTGGGACTCTCCCTGGCCGAGGCTCTGTCTCTTTTGTGTCTCCAAAGCTGCTGTCTCCCGACCTGGGGCAAGAGGGGCTGAGGATCCCTCTCTTGGGTAAGTCCCTCTTGGCTGAAGCAGCTTCTGTTGTGCCAGGCGATCACAGGGCGCGCTGAGCAGAGGGGCTCTGCCGGCTTCATCTTCCCACCTGCTCCTCCTGGTGTCTCCCTCTCTGGCAGCAGGGATCTGCATGGCGTCTCATCTGGATTGCCGTGTGAAAATCAGGTGAAAGGAGGCCCGACGGAGCTGTGGATTGGCACCTGGATCTTTCACTGTCAGCCAGCTGCAGTTTTGCTCAGTTTACGTGGGTCAAAAAAACAAAAAACAAGGATGGGTCAACATCCTGTTTCTTTTTCACTTTTTAAGCTTTAACCACTCAAGTTGTGGCTCTTGGGGCCTCTCTTGACTAGGGGTTGCCAAATAATTCATCAAGCTCCTGCATCCACTCATCCCCTGGCCCGCCTTTGATGATGGAGTCCACAAGGTCTGCACCGTCTGGGAGGCCAGGGAAGGAAGCCCCAGTTCCGTCACCGCTATAATTGTATGACACGTCCTGAGGGGCATTCCGCTCATAGGCTTGGCTCTGGCTGCTTGGAGCAAAGCTGCCACTGGGTATCTGCTGCTGTGCTGGGGGCTGGCTGAATGCTGGTATGCCCGGGACTCCCTGGCTCAGGCCAGACATGACCATTGGCCTCACCTGGCTGGTGCCTTGCTGCCCCGGGAGCGATGGCATCATCTGCCGACCCATGGCAGCTGGGTTGAGGGTCCTCACTGTGCCCGTGTTAGTATCCACGACGGACTGGCTCAGTCCCTGTGGGAAGTGCTGCTTGGTCAGTCTCGGCTGCCCAGCTTGAAGAGGGTAGTTGGCGCCGTTGTTGAATGATCCCAATTCTCCACTAGTCCTCCCAGGCATGCCCTGCAAGCTCCTCTGTTGCCAGCTTTGCGCTCCGTGCTGGACTGTTCCCATAAGGCTCTGCAGCCTTGAAGGGGCTTGGGGCCGAGGCAAGGCCTGGCCTACTGGTCCTTTCATCTGTGGATGTTGCTGGGTAATCGCTGAGTTCACCAGCATGCTCTGACCAAAGCCACTCACCATTCCAACCCCCTGCCCAGAGGCAGGCTGCCTGGGTCCCTGGGCTTGGTTATGTGTGATGCTCATGCCACTTTGGTTTGGGTGCTGCAACATTTGGGTCATGCCTGTGCTCATATTGTACATTCCTGGTTGGCTGGTAGGCGTGGTGCTATAAGGGGCCAGTCCCATCTCTGACTGTGCGGCTGCAGTGGCCATTGTCCCTGGGTTCTGGGAGGGTCCTATTCCCATGATGCCCGAATTCTGTGCCATCAGCCGTGATGTTCGCATGCTCTGAAGGGCAGCTTGGCTTCTTACGGCTGCTATATCCTGGGGAGAACCTGCAGTGAAAAAGAGGACAGACACCACTCACTCTTCTCCATAAGCAACATACTGTTGGAATATCTCCTTCCATGAGCAATATACAAGAAGATGCTGGAATTTCCTTTGAGAATGACAAAATTCCTTTATATGAAAGGATCTACTCTGATAATAAATCTCTAATAAAAATGATTATTTTTCTGATTATAACTTAATGCTGACTGTAAAAAATTTGAAAGTATTAAAAAACACAGACAAAAATTAAAGTCACCTGAAATCCCACCATCCAGAGATGATCATTCCTATTATTTTAAATAGACACCCACAAAAATTGGGATCATACTGTACATATGTTTTTGTAGCTGACTTTTCCACTTAACGGATCCTGATGCTATTCTTGTTTATACTCCAGAAGCAAATTATTTCTCACTCTTATAGATACAATATCATCCTCAACCAAGTAAGATATTATTTTCTTTGGAGGTGAGAGATAATTCACCTCTGGGGCTAAATTAGAAAGAAATGGCTGATCACTTTGCATTTTCTAGTCATTAAGTGAAACATGGTTTGGTAGAGAATACTATCAATGAAGACCATTAGACTAATTTTCCTTAAGACTTGAGTAGGATTTGAGAGGTTAAAGGCCACTGCTTCTGCTAAGCAGCTATTTTGACGATAGGACATTTTTTTGGATCCACTCTGTAGATTTCAACATGCTCCAGATTCTCTGAATCATAACATGTCATTGCAAACTGGCCAGCTTCCTGAGCTAGAAAAAGAGATCATCCTGCTACATGTGACTTGGCCAATGAGCTTTATGCATTTTTTTTCCCCCATCTCCTGAGTTCAAGCAATTCTCCTGTCTCAGCCTCCTGAACTTTATGCATTTCTATGGTGAAGTCCATTCCTTCAAATCGGCAACGACTATTTCGGCAAATTGCTAACACAGTTTTAATAACGCCATTTAAAAGGTGGCCAGTGTCCACATGAAGTCATTCAACCTTAATTAGGTATTTGAGCGAGTCCTTTACATGTTCCCAGGAAATTTCCTAACAGTCAAGAGAATGGAAATGTCACTGGTAGAACACCAGTCAATGTTGCAAAGGGCCAGGAGGTACACAAAAATGGATTTTTCTATGTCCCTGCTAATGACTGAGTCTATGAGAAAAAGAAAAATGTTTTTTTCCTGGACATTAAAAGAAGATGCAGCATGGGAGCCAGTCAATATTCCAAACAAATTTGATCCCACCTGGAACTGTGATGAGAAACCAGATGAGAATAGTCTACCCTTGTTAAACCTGGCACCCTGGCAGATAACTGAAGCATGTTTTTGTCTTCCTGATAGAGTTATTGATTTCTGGGCTGCAAATATGTCTCCATATTTTCTTCCTTTCTTTAAGAAAGAAAATTACAGGAATTTTGATTATATCTCAAGTTTTTGTGGCTTGAAATCAATATCATGGGTCATTGAAAAATGAAATGGTTTCTATCAGGAAACCTGAAAGATCTGGGGGAAATCACTAGAAATGTTTTCATATTTTGTTTTAAGCTTCATTATACCTAAGTGATTTTTTGAATAATCGAAAGTTCCTAGTGAAACACTGGAAGGTAGTATATACTGCAACTTGTAATTTGTCATGAAGTTTTGTGACCTTAATGACTAAATTTTTATTGACTGCATGGCCAATAAGATCAACTGTGGTGAAATGGGTTATTGAGTTGTTTACAAAAAAAATTTAAGAGAAAAATATTGCTGACTCAGAGATTTATTGGATAGACCCAAATTATATAAACAATCTGATGGGCTGCTAGAAATAGATGAAAGGACATCCATAATTTGGCAATTTGGGGGCGTATATTTATAATGGATATGTTAAAGGACTGGATACTGTCTGGATTAATGTTGTGAATGATAAATAGTTTCCTTTCTTTAGAGGGCAGAAATGTTACAATGCCCTTGCCCTTTAATAGGCAGTTACACATTAATTCAAGCCAACCTTTATTTTTATTTAGTGTAAATGACTGCACTATCTTGATGTAATTGTTTCTTTCTTTTTTTTTCTTTTGAGACAGTCTCGCTTTGTTGCCCAGGCTGGAGTGCAGTGGCGAGATCTTGGCTCACTGCAACCTCTGCCTCCTGAGTTCAAGCAATTCTCTGCCTCAGCCTCCCAAGTAGCTGAGATTATAGGCACCCACTACCACGCCAAGCTAATTTTTGTATTTTTTGGAGAGCTGGGGTGTCACCATCTTGGCCAGGCTGGTCTCCTGACCTCAAGATCCGCCAACCTTGGCCTCCCAAAGTGCTGGGATCACAGGCGTGAGCCAATGCACCCGGCTATAATTCTTGTTTTTAAAAAGGCATTTTAAAATCAGCAATTAGCACATTATTTTCACCTAAGAGAAATAAAAAACCTTTTATTAATCTAGTTTTATGCCTTCAGTGATTTTAAATATACAAAGGAAAAAAATTCAGATGTGTCCAAGGAATTAACTTGTCTTTACCTGATTATTACATATGTTAAGCAACTTTCTCTTCTTTTAGTCTAAAACAGACATGATTGTGAGACACTGTAGTCTAATTTTCTTGTCTGCTGGTTAACATCACAATGTCTAAGAAAATCTTGTATATTCAAATAGAGATGATAGTGTCCAACTTTTTCCTAAAAGAGTGTATGTCCTATTTTCACTCACAATAAGCCTGTATTTAGGAAAAAAATAAGCATTTCCCCATAGACATGTAATATTTCCCAGAGATCCAGAACCTAATGAGGGAAAGATAGTCATTAAGGCCTTTGAAATGTATAATGGTGAGAGTATGAGATAGGTTCTCATACAAGTTATACCTAACAAAACTTCTCTTCAAGAACGATGATTCTTAGTTATCAGTTTGCTGTTTCCCAGATCCATAAAATCATGCTATCTAGGGTGTTGGCAAATACATGAAAATATTGAAGATAGCAAAAAAAAATTATTACATATCTCGAACCAGTTAGTTCAAGAATCCCAAATATCACACTGGCTATAACTAAATTTCTAGTGTAACTAAATTTCTAGGTTGATTACCTCTGGTTTGGGTTTTAGAAAAGTTCAAGGAATAGAACTTTTTAATTGGACCCAAAACATTCGGAATAGCTCATATAAATATGTGTCTATGTTCTTTTACACAGGGGAATTATTAAATTGCAGTGGGTTCCTTTTCCCTCACAAATAATGCGTGAGTTATGAACCTGGAAAACTCAAGGGACATTATGCTGGATTCATCAGCTTTTATGTTTTTAATTAGTTCATAATATAATGCAGCAGCTCTCAAGTGTGGTTCCCTAGCTAGCAAAATCAGTGACTCTTGGGAACTTGAAAGAAATGCAGATTCTCAGGCCCCGCTCCAGATCTACTGAATTGGAAACACTGTGTGTGTTTTACCATACTCTGTGATGCTTTCAATGCAGGCTAAAGTTTCAGAACTACACATATAAAGGAGGGCTTTGTATCTGAAACAACAACAGCTATATATAATGATGACTAGTCCCCACTCTTCCCTACCCATGACAAAATGAGAAACAGAATTCTTCAAAAACTACTGGCACTGATTTAGTGCACAGAACACCTGTGGATAACTCAGTCCTTTTGTCCTTCCCTGTGTCAAGGCCAAATGGGATGTAATGTGATATAAGCATCCCAGAGGTGGAAGGGAGTGGTAGCTACTCAAGCCCCAGTATTTTCAAAGGTGATCTTCAGTGTGATCTGTCAGCAAATATCAGTGGCTTTCAGACAGTAAACCACAACTCACAGTTCATGACCCAGAATATATACATGTGGGTTTAAAACAGAAAGAAATTTTCTCATATGCACTGGTAATTTCTGTTGTATTTAATTTTTAAAATGTTGGCTGTGACCCATTAAGTTGTTTTCAATACCCTTGTGTGTTGTGATCTGAAGACTGAAAAAATGCTACCTTAGATCAGAAATTTTTCACCCAGTCTATTAATAAAGTTCAGGGATACTTGTGAAATTATGTGAAAGTTTGTATATATTTACATATTATATATTTCTGTGCAAGAAACTTCATAGACTTTTACAGATTCTTAACGGAATAGGTAACTTTTGAGAAGTTAGGACACATTGATCCCACAAAACGGGCAGAGGATGGGATTAGGATTTCTGGTGCTAGGTGGCCCCTGCAGCCCCCTGAAAACTCCTGTGGATAGGATTAGGAAGGCTCCTCAGGCTATTTCTTAATTCCATATAAGACCCTCAAGGGCTCTCTCTTTCTCTCTCTCTCTCTTTTTTTTTTTGGTGATAGAGTCTTGCTCTGTCACCCAGGCTGGAGTACAGTGGTGCGATCTCGGCTCACTGCAACCTCTGCCTCTCAGGTTCAAGCAGTTCTTGTGCCTCAGCCTCCCTGAGTAGCTGGGATTATAGGTATGCACCACCATTCCTGGCTAATTTTTTGCATTTTTAATAGAGGCGGGGTTTTGCTATGTTGGCCAGGCTGGTCTTGAACTCCTGGCCTCAAGTGATCGGCCCACCTCGGCTTCCCAAAGTGCTGGGATTATAGGCGTGAGCCACTGTGCCTGGCCAAGGGTTCTCTACTGGATATGGAAGGGTTTGATATTTGGGTGGGCCTTCTGCATTTATAAAGGAGTGCCAACACTGACATACAGTGCACCCACTGCTGGGTCATGATTTGGGATTCCCACAAATGACTGCAGGATCAGTTCAGCCTCAGGCCCTATTTGTCTTCTATATTCAGCGGAGACTAGTGGTTGTTGTAAACCAGATTCTTCCACTTCAGCTTTACAGGTAAGGGCTTTGGTCAGGTGACCTGCTGGGATAACCAAAAAAGATGTGGCACAAGATTTTTGCCACTGTAGTCACTAAGATGATGATCTAAACGTAAACACAACTGATACTGAGCCGACAGGCACCAGAATATCCTTACTGGTTGTAAAACTATTGAAATACTGTGTACCTTTAGTGAAGACCAGCTGTTCATCCCAACTCCCACAGCTACCCTGACCCTTCTCTGGGCCTCCTAGAACCTCTCTGTGACTCAGTGACCAAAAGGTGAATGCCTGGCACAACAGGAGGCCTCTAGGAATCCAATCTGATTGGTTAGTACTCTTAACCTACCACTAGTTAAATATTTTAAGTATTTCCTGGACACAAATACAGTATGTACGGCAATGCCACTGGCTACACATTCACTTGCTCTTCACAACCAGAAGGTATAAAATGAGAGAGGTTGCTCTGGCCTCACCTTGAAACTGATTGACCTGCTGCACTGGGTATGGATTCCGCTGTTGCTGGAGGTGCTGCCGGGGTAGATGTGATTGCTGCAACTGCTAGAACAACAGAACACAGAGGGGTGGGGAGGTGAGGTGAGATGGGGATGAGCACACAATTTGATATCCTAGCAGTTCTGAGGAAGACAGGGTTTTCCCCAAAAGGAAACTTTGTGTTAAAGAATAATATGCATACAGGCAAGTGCACAAAGCCTAAGGATAGAATCAGGTAGGTTTTCACAAAACAAACACATTCAGGGCACCAGCCCCCATATCAAAAAACAGAACACAGCCAGGAGCCCCTCATGGCCCTTCCAGTCATCACCCTCCCTTGAACCATGGGCATCAATGTCCGAACTTTTAACAACATACGGTAGTTACGTCTGCTTTTGTACTTTGCAGAGAGTCATACAATGCTGCTGTTGTGTCTGGCTTCTTGCATTCACCACTGTATTTGTGAGATTTATCTATGTATGTGAATACTTGTGGCTTGGTCATTCTCACTGTTGGATAGCATTCCCTCATATGAATATACCATACTTGATTTACCCATTCTACTAGTGATGTCACTTTAGGTGTTTCTAGTTGTTGTGTTTCAAAGGTGACTGCTATGAACATTCCTGTACATGCCTTTGGGTGAACATCTGCATATATTTCTGATGTGTGGACTTGCTGGGTCATGAGGAATATGTGCTGAGGGTAAGGGTTTTGTCGTGGACTGCTTAACACCAGCCTGCATCTTTCCTTAGCACTGTGGGGACTGAGCTCAAAGGGACAAGCAACTGCTTTTTAATGACCTAAATGGATGTTTTGGGCATAAGAAGATGAGATCCTCAGGGGTTATACAGAAAAGGCTCATCTTATTCCCATGAAGCCAAACTGCCTATAAAATACATCTCTACAAGTAAACTATTCAGCATTTACTGCTTTGAGGAAACCATGTGGGATTCCACATATACCAGCGAGCCAGGAGGCCTGTGTTTTAGTCTTTCTTCTTCCACTCACGGGGATGCTGCACTGCTAGTGTTGTTTGCAATATACTGGGAAGGCTATTATTATCAGGCTGTATGTGCAAAGGGAAAGAAAATAAGAGTGATGTAGAAGGAGCAGAGAAAGAGGTTTTAGTCCTAGGTCTGCCGTCAAGTAGCTTGAGTGACCTTCAGTATGTTGTTTAACCTGCTCCCTGCAGCCGCTGAATATTAATTAAGTACCTTTCATCTGCAAGAGCTATAAAGAACATATACCAAGGTCCCCATTCTTTAGAGTGTTCATTATAAAAATAACACACACTGACCACCTCTTAAGGCATGTGTTTATTTCCATTTTTCTCTTGTGTTTGTTCCTGGGCTGCTCTATAATTTTCTTTTCTTTTTCGTTCTCTACAAGGCCAGCCAGCGTTCTGGCAACCAAAGAAAACAACAGCCTCTGACTTGTTGACCCCATCTGTGGTGCCTACCATAATGTTCTGCAGAAAACTGTTGAAATTAATTGATTGTGTAAACCATTAAAGTATAGACAAGAAACCATGCAAATCTTTAGGCAGCAATATAAGGGCATTATTGAGAGTTAGCTGAGCATTCAACAGCTTCTCCCAGTCAAACTTCCATATTATATAAGAACTTAACTGTCCCACTTATGACTAGGGATGAGCCCCCTGCAGCCTTTGGGAGACTGAGGGTGCATCCTGGAGTCAGAAATCAGGAGTTCCCAGTTCTGTCCTGGCTCTGTCTCTCTGTAGCTCTGTGATCTCACATAAATCACATAAGCTCAGGTTCCTCACATAACCTCAGTTCCTCATTTGTAAAATGATGGCACTTCATGATCTAGAACATTTTTAAGTTCTGTCTAACCTTTGTGAATGGATGAGAGGTGATGTGATTTGCACTTTTTGAGAATAGGCATTAAATATGAATTCATACCTACTTTCAACCTGTTCTGCTCTGATTTCCAAGTCTACTGAGAATCATTTTAAAGCTCCCCAAAATAAGCAAGATCCTACATCCTTCTGTTTTCTCTGACATTACCTTTCAGGAAACCCAAAATCTATTTCCAAAATCCAAAGTGTGAGGACACTTTCAATGCTGCAGCAACCAAGACTGGTGTCTATTTGGCAATTTCACTCTCACGCAAAAAGTTGAGAGCTGGCTGGGTGCAGTGGCTTACACCTGCAACCTCACCCCTTTGGAAGGCTGAGGCGGGCAGATTGCTTGAGCCCAGGAGTTCGAGACCAGCCTGCCTAACATGGTGAAACCCCATCTTTACTAAAAATACAAAACTTAGCCAGGTGTGGTGGTGTTTGCCTGTGGTCCCAGCTACTCTGTAGGCTGAGGTGGGAGGATCGCTTGAACTTGTGAGGCAGAGGTTGCAGTGGGCCGAGATCACACCACTACACTCCAGCCTGGGTGACAGAGTGAGACTCTGTCTCAAAAAAAAAAAAAAGTTGAGCACTTACTCCTTGTAGACCTGCACTCAGACAACCTGCACTAAATCTGCAACCTCCCCGGGTGCAGGGAAGATGCTTCATTGACCTGGCTGGGCCATGTGGCTGCAGCTCCCACCTGACATTCCCTGACACCAGGGCCATATGATAGGCCCCCACATACATGTGTGCAGCACATATAGCTTCCAAAATATTTTACACACATGATCTTATGTCATCCTTAAAGCAGCCACATAAGGAAGGCTGGGAAATTATTAAAATCTAATTTGGCAGATGAAGAGGGAGGTTCAGTGATTTTTCTAAAATCACATCAAAAGCAAAAGAATGGACTAATCCTGACCCTGAGAAAAGTGATTCTCGCCTCATCCCTCACCATGTTTTAGTACACACAGTTGCCGTGGAATTATCTGCAGGTTGCAGCTTCCCATTTCCCTTGTCTTTCCCAAGGCACTCCCACTCTTTCTGTGCCCTGGATCTTGAGGGGGTCTTCCCTGACCTCTCACCTCCTTGTCTGGGAGCATCGTCTTGATGTGTCTCTTCTCACACTCTTCCCATGCACCGTGCTCCCCAGGGTCGAGCTGGCTTCGCCATGTGGGAACACCCCTGGGCTGCACAGCTGAGCTCTGCCGGCTTGCCCTGGACCCTCTTTGTGTCTTTGGCCACAACACACATATCAAAAGCCATCACTCAAAACATCAGGTACACCTGAGATTTCCTGGGATTGGCTGAGGAGAGGATTTACAGAGCCCAGCTGCCCTCGGCAGCTCCATTTATCACTGCCTGAGAGAGATTAGCATAGCTCCTTGTCGCACACCTTATGTAGGTGAGAGGGATAGAGGTTTGTTTGTACAATAGCTGCCAGGAGGCTGACTGACCTTGGTAAAAAGGGAGATAATTACACAGCTGTTCGGGAACAAAAGCAAAAAAATAAAAAGGGAACATAAGTGAACTGTGCTCAGCAGTACAATTTTTTTCTTTGGGGAATGCCTGGTATTATTTTGAACTGCTGTTCTTGGTTAGTAGGAACCTAAATGGGCCTGTGTCCTAAATAGGATCTTGTATATATGCAGTGGTGGATGCTTGGTAAATTTGCAAAATTCTGGTGGGGTGTGGTAGATCATGCCTGTAATCCTAGCATATTGGGAGGCTGAGAGGGGAGGTTTGCTTGAGGCCAGGAGTTTGAGACCAGCCAGGTCAACATAGTGAGACCCTGTCTCTATTTCTTTAAGAAAAAATTTACAAAATTCTGACCCTCTCAGAAACATTTTAGAAGGATGACTGCGAGGCAGACCTATGTTGGGCCTTCAGTTTTATATGACAACCTCACACCTCCTGTAAGAAAGAGCCTGCTGTATGAGATTCCCTGTGCAAACCCCCACAGAAGCCACCTGGGGCTCTCTCGTGGACGGCCTCAGGCCTTTCTCTGGGATAATGCTAAGTCAGGTATGGGCATCTCTAAAAACAAAACAAATTAAAACCTACAGGAGCAGTCTGCAGGGAAGGCTTTCTCTCAAAGCTGAGGAATTATAGGGCGAGGATGGACAAAGATGCCTAAGGTAAAGCTGTATTTGTGTTAGGCTTTCCTTTAACTCACGGATTTCCTGAGGTGTTTCAAAAGCTGTGGGGAATTTTCTTAAGTTTGCACCCTGTCTGTGACCCAGAGTTCAGGCTTCCAGGTAGTTCTGCAGGCCTTATTGTTCTGCTATTGTTCCCAATCCATTGTTCATGACCCATTCTATAGAATTCTCCTCAAGCCCTTCTCCTGTAATTCCTCTAAGAAACAGAGTTCTCTGAATTATTATTTTTTTCTTCATGCTAGAAATATTAGGGCTTATGGAGCATGTGAAACAGCCCCAGCCATGTGCTGATTACACTGACCCTGTACCAGAAATCAGAAGAAAAGGAGTCAGGCTTGAATCTAAGAAATGTCTCTGGCACACAGGCCTTCAAACTGCTGGCGGAAGCCTGTCTTTTAAGAACAAATTAATTAATTACAGGAAAAAGCCTAACTAATTGAAATGTCTAAATTCTTCAGGTTCTCCTGTGACCCCAGGAAATGCTAGACTATGAGCATCTTGACGAAGGATGTGAACTGTGACTTTCTCACAGCCAGCAGGTGCTGAATAAGTGCTTGCTGAATGAATGAATCACGCTGAAGGGCATGTTACCTGTTCCGCCAAAATCTGCTGCTGCTGCTGCTGCTGCCTTTGCTCCCGCAGGAACTGTTGCTTCTGCTGCTCCATCAACTGGGCCCGCTGATCAATGAGCATCTGCTTCATGATGGCTGCTTGGGGCTGGCTGCCCAGGAAGCTGGGGCCTGCGGGACCAGCTCCTGAGACCATGCCACCTGAGCCTGGGGGCACAGAGGACTGCATGGGGCCTGTGGTTCGGGGAAGTCCAACTGGATGCTGCTCCTGGGAGGACAAGAGAGGGACAGATTCAGGGATTCCCCATGGAGACTCACTGCCATTTGAAGGGAGACCCCTGGGAAAAGGGCAGGAATCCCGGCTTATGGACAGGAGGGGTCGTGAGTGACAAACATTGCATTTCCATAAAAGTAGCCTCCAACCGACCTTACCTGAGTAGAATTAGAGAGGCCACATGGATAGTAAGATAGCATGGCTCTGGGAAATCGAAGGCCAAGTTCAGTGTGTTTCAGATGGGACTGACTATTGCATATGGACTGGATTTTCAACTAACATCCTGTGTTCCTCCAAGGAAAGGAAATGAGCCCTCAGGCTGAGCTCACCTAAAGTCTGAGACATCCTGACCTCACCTGTTAATCCTTATTTCTTATGTCTACTTGGCCAAAAATAGACATCTTCTTCGAAAGTAGGAGGGACATTTACAGAAAACTGCAGGAATTTGTTAATCAACAGGTCTGATATTTGATGGAATTCTAATAAGTTGCAACATTTGAGAGCTTTGATATATGTCAAAAAGAAAAATCCTGCTGGCCAGAGTTGCTGATGGGGAGAACTGGGAATGTTTTACACTGACCAAAGCTATGTAATCTCCTAATATCTTTAAAAATAGAATGGAGTCTCCTCTGTCTGGGATAATTTAAATGTGGGGTGTTGGATTGGGTCTCTTGATTCTATAATTATATGTCAGCCAGTCAAATGATGGCAACTTCTAAGGACTAGTCCTTAGGGAAGAGGAGGCCAAGTAAATTAAGTAAAGACCGAATTCCACACTGCCCAGGTGACTACGTGAAGAATGTGCTCAGAGGCGAAGTGTGTGCTCTGAGCTGGACAGGGTAGACTATTAGGGAAAAACAGCAAATGGGAAGAAACGGCATGTGGCCCAAAGATTCAGTTTCTAGCCACCTCCTTTCCTATTTGTTCTCTGAAGCCTACCTAGCAGTGGCAAGTACTGTCTGAACATTCTGCAGAAATTCCTCCTCATTTAAGTTTCAAGTAATTAATGTGAACATAGAGGAGTTGATACAGATTAAACGGGCACACATATAAGGACATTCACAGTCATTTTGGGAAGCATTACTATGAGACCTTAAATAGTAAGAAGCAAATGCGAATAACTCTATCATTAAACAATTTTTAAATCCAGCCGGGGGTGGTGGCTCATGCCTGTAATCCCAGCACTTTGGGAGGCCGAGAGAATTGCTTGAAACTGGGAGGCGGAGATTGCAGTGAGCTGAGATCACGCCGCTGCACTCCATCCTGGGCAACAGAGCGAGACTCCATCTGGATTTCAATATTTTTCTTCTTTTTACTTTATTGCCTTTCCAACGCAGATACTGCTAAACATGCTGGCAGTTTTTTCTCAAAGCAAATAGGTGAAGTTTCTCTCTGTCTCTCTGAGAGAGACAGTCCTGGATTTGATTCCCTACAGCCTGGGCTGTGTTCCTCCCTTCCTTCTGTGGTGTGTAGAACCATTCCGACTTCCCTCTCTAGTATGACTGACCTCAACTGGATCTTCAGTTGCTCTTCTTCCCTCCAAACAAAACAAAAAAGCAAAACAAACAAAAACCAAACCAAACTGCTACTCCTCTTACCCTACAACCCATCACCCAAGACGCTCTGGTTTGTTTGTGCAGTAGCCCAGGTCGCACAATTTGTGAATGGTAGACTCAGAACTAGCAGAACTGGAATGCAATTAAAAAAAAAAAAAACAAAAAACACCAAAAAACAGATTGCTTTTCTTTGCTTTTTAAAAAAAATTTTCCATAAGTTATCAGGGTACAGGTGGTATTTGGTGACATGAGTAAGTAGAATGCTAATTTTAATTCTCAAGTCAGTACTCTTCCTACTAGCTCAGGCCTCTCCCAGGCAGTGTCTTCATGGTGTTAAGTGTGCACCTAAGAACAGCCTGTATACCTATACAGTGTGTCTCTCATAAGTGTACTGCATTCTATTTTTTATACATAAATGCTGTAGCTGAAATTAATAAAACGTTTTGTCTTAGTGTATTTTCTCTATACATACACAAACATAGCTAGGAAATATTTTTGATGTTAATAAAAAGATCTTATACTAAACAATGCCAGGAACCTTCGTGCTACCAAAAAGTTTACTTCAGGACTAACCCTTGCAGGGGTCTAGATATTTCAGGGTCTTCCCTTTCCCCCCAAATATTTGCCACCTATTTTCCAAGCCCTTCCTTCCAGTGAAATAAATCTGTTTCTTGCCACCTTTAGGGACAAATGGCTGATTGACTTTACACTTTAACAAATGAATTCACACTGACATATAAACAGCCAATCAGCAAAAATGCAGATATGCAGTTTGTTTTTTCTATCTCAGTATATTTGATACTTTTCAGTTTTGATAAGGAGGAGAGAGTTGGAAAGAAAATGAAGCCCAAGGGAAGATAAAATTTTCTTCAGCTTGATTTTTTTGAGAGGGCTGGTCTGGGAGGGCCCTGTTTATCTTTGTGCACTTTGAGATATGCTTGTCCTGTGCGACCAGCCGGCACAGCTGGGGAGTGTGCCTAGAAGTGGTAAGGAGTGAAGAAGTGTTGCTTTCCCAGCCTCCCCTCCACTGGGAAAAGAAAGGGAGAGGCAAATGGGGTGACGATAATACATCAAATCACTTTTTGCCCCTGTCATCCTGGGCCAAAAAAAAAAAAAAAAAAAAAGAACTTCAAAAGCACAGTGTGAAAAAAAAAAACAACCCTCCCAAAAGGATAGTCATGTTATTACTTCCCACGATTATATGTTTCCCCAAATAATTCCCTTCCAGAGGTTTAGCCTTAGGGTTCTCACTGAAGACCTACAGGCAGGAAGGGCTGTATGTATTATTCTATTAATTTTTTTTTAGAGACAGGGTTTCACTCCATTGCTCAGTCTGGAGTTCAGTGGTATGATCACAGCTCACTGCAACCTCCAGCCCCTGGGCTCAACCAATCTTCCTGCCTCAGCCTCCTGAGTAAGTGAGACTACAGATGAATGCCACCATGCCCTGCTAATTTTTAAATTCATTGTAGAGATGGTGGTCTTACTATGTTGCCCAGGCTGGTCTTAAACTCCTGGCTTCAAACAGTCCTCCTGCCTTGGCCTCCCAAAATGTTGGGATGACAGGCAGCAGCCACTGCTCCCAGCACTAGGTGCATTCTTAAAGGACTGCCCTCCCTACGAAACATCTTTAGTACTTTCCCAACAAGCTCTGCCACATTCAACGGTGGGTGAGACACACCTACAGCCCCAGATTCTGATGTATATTCCAAAGTGTGAAGATGTACTCAGTGACTTGCCTTATACATTAAGCTGGCCGAGGCCACTGTTTCCTATTACATGGCTTCCTTTAACCTCCAGTCTAAGAGGGCTTAATGAGAAATCTTCTGTCAGATTTCAGGATTTCAAGCCACTGCTCATTTCTAAGAAAGACACACACTGTGTTGTGCAATTAGAGAAAACCAGGCTGAGCTTTCGTCATGTGGAATGTAATGCCTTGAAGCCAAATGATGCAGTATTTTTAGTTGTAATTACTGGCTTGTTCTCCAATCCACTCCTTGCCCAACGACCTCCCTTGCTTCTCCTAAGAATCTTAATACAGTTTCTCCCCCTCAAAAATCCAACTGGCTACATAGATCTTCATTACTCGCCTAACCCTCTCACTCTTCCGTAAAATAAAGGAAGGAGAAAGAAATAAAAACCAAGGAACCTACTTTACATATCTTCTCTTCCAGGGAAAAGATCTTAGCAATTTTCTAAAGGCTAGAGTGAGGTAGGAGGTGTTAAGAGCACCCTTACCTCCCCCAAACAGGCAGTTTTCGACTTCAAAAAACAGCTATGGTAAAAATATCTCCCAAGAACAGCCAGCTGTTTATTTATAAATCTGTGCGTAGGGAAGCTTTAATTTCTCTGAAGTGTTTTCAAGAACATGCATAGTGTTTGGGTGAGAGGGGCCGGCGTTGTTGGCAGCGAACCAAAGAGCAGGGAATCACAAAAGACGGCCGGTGGCGAGGAGGCTGGGGTGACGGGGACCCCGTGAATCACGGGCTCGAGGACGCCCAGGGCTTTTCAGCCTTTTCCAGGCGTCCCTCGCCGGGGGAACGCGGAGCAGCTGCCGTTCTCCCAGCGCCCCAGCAGATGGTGGTGTCAGCCCGGCCTCGCGCCCGGCCGCCGCCGCGCCCGCGCCCCTCCCCTCGCAGATGGCTTAATCAGGGCTCCCGCCCGCCCCTCCGCGGCCCCCGCCCAGCGCGTCTGGGCGAGCGCTGCGAACGTGGAGCCAGGCAGTCAAGTGTTACTGCGTACAGCAGGTAGCCTGGCAACTGAGAGCATAATACCGAGCAGATGGTGTTCGCACGGCGTGATGGACATCACACACGACAGCCTGAGACAATCCAGGAATTCCCTGGTGACTCGAGGCCCTCTTTACACAAAATGAGTTCTCTCTCCATTGCGGTGTATCTCTGGGATTATCTCCCCCCTCCTCCGACTGACACTGAACTGGTTTCTTATTACCGACTTTTCTTCCAGCCAGAGGGGAGGGAGAACTCAGGCGGGGGAGGACACGGGAAGGGGACGTGGAAGGAAACGGAAGGGCTGGGAGTGGGGTCCGGGGGCAGTGGCGACCACAGAGGGGCGGGAGGGTGGCGGACACCAGACCCCAGGGCTGACAGCCCGGGAGGGACCTGGTTTCCAGGAGCCCAGCTGCACAAAGCCGGCGCGGGGAGGGAAGGAGCGAGCCTCGGGTAGGCCCGGCGCGGCTTCTTCGGCTCAGAGTCCTTGCAACTGCTTGGCCTACGAACGGCCTAAATGAAATTTAGGATTTTATTGAAAAAGTCCCCTGGGGCCTAATTTGGCCTCTCGACTCGAGCCTATGTGCTTACAAGTACTTAGGGGACTCCGGCTAAGAAGTCAGGAATGGGGCCTGTGCGCCGCCGGCAGGCCCGAGACCGCCTCTCGGCGCAGGCGGCCCTAACAAAGAAGCCCACGAGGCGGTCCCAG